CTGTGTGTAAATGTTGTATTTAGCTGAGTTTCCAGGAAGCAAATAACTTAGACTATTCTGGTTTGGCATGTTCTCTCTTTCTAACCACCATTGGAGCTGAACCTGGGAACTGAACACAACTTGAAATTTTGTGGTTTGGCTGTTGGAATTCAGAGCTAAACTATCTGAAGCTAAAAATTATTAATGTTGAAATGTTTTAACCCACTAAGTAAACCTGAAAAAATAATGAAATTTAACTCCAGCCAGCCCATAAAAATTGTGTATAGCATAATTTTTTTGAGGCAGGAAGAGAGGAAAAAATGTATGAAGGGGATCTGAGATTGCTAAAGAATTAGAAATTAGTTATTGGAGTTTAAAGTAAATGTTATTATCCAAATTCCAATGCAAAGTAAAACAAAAAACAAAAAAACACACCAGAAAACCCACCAAACAAACCCAGAAATCTTATAATGTTATTCACATCATATTCTACTTTTCCCAAGTCTATACTGAATCAGTACGTAAAAATAATGAAGTAGGAAAAATGCCAGTTGCACTTGTTTAACTTTTCAAATATTTTTTTCCATATTTTCTTTGAAGATGGGATAATAAGATAATACTTTACATTTTCATGGTATTTGATACTTTGCTGAATATTTTCATATATATCATCTTAATTAAAATGATGACTTGTTTCACCTTTCCACTAAAAAATCACAAAATATTTAATGAGTTAAGCTCATTAAATCTTAGAACATATCTAAAACCTGGCATGTAGAGAGTATCTATAGAAAGGCAGTCCTCTGTTCCACCATTAGTTAGCACTCTGAAGTGTAACCATGTCTCATTTTCAAAATCCACTTTCAAATTTTACTGACAGAAGTTTCCTTTGCTCTGATTTCTGAGGATTAATTTGATCCATGTTGTCTTTGATAACAATAAAAGGTCTGTGAAAAGTGTCTGGGGCTCTTTAAAAGTATCAGTCTCCAAAGCAGAGTATATAAGATGGTCCCTTAGGTTGTGGGAAGAGAATATTAGAACTTTTATTGGTATTTCAATCTAAAAAATGAAATAAACCTTAATTAACATTTAATAAATGGATTGATATTGGCATCCTCACTTGGTCTGTATGTCAGACTATCACATGTCAGGTATAGTCATGAGAAAAGAATACAGAAGGTTGACAGAGGCACCCTGCTTCTACCTTTATTTTTGGCATATTGGGATGAATTATAGTTCTACATGTACCTAGTTAGGTGGGTTTATGGATTTAACTAAACCAAATCTCACAAAACAGACAAATGGCATAAAAAGTTTTCTGAAAAGAAACTGTATTGAAGACAATGCCAATATTGTGAGCAGAAGTGAACCACATGCACATAAAAGTCAGAGCTGTGATTCTCCTATGACTAATGGAGTAAAAATCAATGACAATCTAATTCCATCTGAGGAGACATCCAAAAAATTTGAAATTATAAAGAAGACAGTTATATAAATGGAATATATAAACATATAAATGGAATTATATCCACACACAGGACGGGAAGACAAACTTCCACAAGTTTTTCAGTGATGTTTAAAGTCATGTGATACATAATTCAATATCTAGAAAAATTTCACTAAAATTAATGATAGATATTGAAAACCTCTTTTGGGGTAATAGCAAAAGACCAAATGCAATACATTATTAATAAATAACGTTAGAGGCATAGTCGTTTTTTCTGTTACAGTAAAATGGATGAAATAAAACATAGGAAACAACATGGCAACAACTTAAATGGATTTGTTTGTGAATAAATACTTTCAGAACATGTATAGAAATCATTACAGATAATTTGAAGCATCAAGAATTAAAGCAAATTATTCAGTGTGCAAGGATGCTATATAATTAAAGTATAGAAGTTTCTAATGTGGCCCAGGTTATTGTATTAGCTGATTCTGTTTCAGTAGTGAAATACATGAAGAATTAAATTTTTTTTTTGTGCTATGAAAGTAAAGATGTATCAGGAAAGATATGTTCTCAAAAATAAATGACTTATTGAATATAAAACAATGTTTCTGAGGGAATTTCCTGGGAGTAATGGTGATGTTATGACTTGATAGGGGTTTAGATTGGATATATGTATGCATTTGTTGGAACTCATCAAATGGTACACTTAAGATATGTGCATTTCACTGTATGCAAAATTTACCTCAAAAAAAAAAAAAAGAATCATATGTATTAAACTCAGGTTAGTGATGTATTTGCTAAACTTGAGGGGAAAGTATGTTGATGTTTTTGACCTACTTTGAAATGCATTAAAAAAACTTAAGATGGATTGATGAATGGATGGAGGGATGGATTGATGGGTAGATTAGTAAAGTGTAGTATAGTAATAGCAAAAACGGTAATTGCAGAGTCTAGGTGGTGGGTATATGGATGTTCCTTGTAAAATTCTTTGAACTTTTGTGTTGCATCATCTTTAAACAATCTATAGCAACATAGAAGTTGATGTCAGATGTATGAAGAGTGCTTCAGGACAGTATCAATGTTGTTAATTTTTATAAAAACCTGGCTGGTAAATTACAGAATCTCCATAGTACTCTGTAATGAGATGAGGTGGGACCATGAAAATCGTTTGAATCACCAGAGCTTCTTTGGTTATTTCACGGCATAGATTGTAAAAAAGTTGTTGAATTTAAAGATGGGTGAAACATTTTTTTAAATGAAAAGATAAGATATATCAATTTTGCTGACCCTTTTTGTATGCCAAGATGGCTGTGTAATATGCTACATATCAACCAACCAGTCATCAAACAATGGAACACTCTTACTCCATCTCTTCCAAGTAAAGCCTGTGTTTTTACAATGAGTAAGGAAGTAACTGCCTTTTTAAAGACAGAGATTAAAATACAGAGAGAGTGTTTTTTAAATCACTGCTTGGAAATATTTCTTTTATCATGTGATTTTTGTTGTCAAAGAAGTGTGTGTCTTGTGAAAACTTTGCTATCTGCACACTTTAAAAAATTTGTAACACTATTTTCTATGCTGTTGAAAAATCTTCCAAATAAAAAGTCAGTTGATTTTGAAACCAATTGTTAAAAATGTTAAAATGCAATGTCTTTCTATTAGTTTGCAAGAATAATTGATTGACATGAGGGAAGATAGAAATTTATTAGCCAAAAACTTTTACTAATTGATGGGAGGTATTAAAAAATGAAAATAGTGATTTAGGAAATAGAATGAATGATATATTTCTTTAAGTCCTTGCATTTTTGCATTTATCTCTTTCTCAACTGTACAGCCATTGCAATTAAGTACTGAAATAAGTAGAACTTAGTACCTGACATTTCAATCACTGAATTACAAAATATTTAAATCAATATTTAAAAAAAATATAATTTCATTTGTTATTGTTGTTATTGTCATTGCTTCACTAAAGTGCTGATAACTTTTATGAGTGAAAAGATCTGTACAACTAATAAATAAGTATATAAACTAATTTTAAATGCCTATAATTTTTTATTTTTTAATTCCTATTTTATGTATGTTTTATACTGTATAGAACATATTAGTAAAATAGTATAATATAATAAATATGCATATATTGGAGGATCATACTAAATTTTTATTTGTTTGTCAAAATATGTAATCAAAGAAGTTTGGAGACCCCTTTTCACTGATCACTCGTGATCTGGCATACTATTACTGGTAGCAGCACTTACTTATCCTTAAAGTCTAAATCATTGTTTTAGAGGTTATAAATTAGCACATAGTTTCTAACTGGTGAGCCTTTGTTTTTTAATGTTGAGCCTTGATGAATGAAGTTTATCTTTAGTCTAAATGCTAAAACAGTAGTTCTCAAAGGGTAGAGCAGCATCAGCATCACCTGGGACCTTATTAAAAATGTAAATTCTCAGGCCTCATCCCAGGCCTACTGAACTGGAAATGCTGGTGAACAGCCTTGCCAAGTGCCTCTAATGCTCACTAAAGTTTGAGAACCACTGGCCTACATGATTTAGACTCATGGATCACCCCTCTTTGTATCTTCCTGCTCATGACATATCTGAGACCATTTCTTCTTAACTACAGTATATCTCAGTCTTAGCTCAGACTTTTTTGATCTCTACATGAGATTTTTTTCTCTCCTCCCTCCCTTCTCTTCTTTTCCATTCTTCCTATTGTGAAAAATTGTTCATTAATGTTATTTTCAAAAGGGATAGTGTTTTGGTTCCTAAAATTTGGATGCTACAGCCAGTGTGACAAATAGCGTATATTTAAAGGGGATATTTTTAACATTTTCAAATTAATTTTTGTTAACCACTTCCAGTTGGACTTGAATATGCATGTGATTAATTTATTATTCTTTTCCATCTATATCCTCTTGATTTCAAATTTTATAATCTCTAAATAGCTTTCCAACAACTAAAATTTCAAAACATACATTTCAAAGTAAGAATCACCTAGATTCAACAATTGTTGAATTTTATTACTTTTGCTTTTCTCTTTTTCTGCATAAACACAACACAGTTGTTTCGCTGAACCATTTGTAAGTAAACTGTATATGTCAGTACTCTTCACCCCTAAATACTTTACTGTTAAGAATAAAGATCAAAGTAGCTTTTAATGGGACTATTACAAAATTATTCTGAAAGCCCAATTCATACCAAATGCTAAACCAGTTATTAAATCCTAAATATTTTCAAGATCCTTCTATAAATGTCTTAATGAGGAAAAGGTATAGAACTCCAAGTTGTGAATGTATAAATGAATCCTCCAGCCTTTCTCAACCAAAGTTTTTCATCTGAACTACAGAACACAGAGGATGATTTGAGTGACTATTTTCTCATTTCTCCCAAGGATGGTACATAACTAGTACCAATCCAGATACATGGGGGAAAGATTAATTCATTACATACGATGGATGTATTAGAATGTTCTTTCCAGGAACTCAGGTTAGTTCGACTGTGTATGTGGCAAGTTCTTAAGAGGATTTTGCTTTGAATAGCTTGTGATGTTTATACAAATATCTTTTTTTTAGATTACAGGTCCACCAGGTTGTGGAAAAACTCAGTTTTGTATAATGATGAGCGTTTTGGCTACAATACCCGTCGACGTGGGCGGATTAGGAGGAGCTGTTGTGTACATTGACACAGAGTCAGCATTTAGTGCTGAAAGGTAGGCGATTTCATTATTTTCCATTATATTGCTTTATTTTTGTAACTTATATACAGCATGTAACATTCACAAATAGGTTAACATTTACCTTTTTTTTGAGAACACAGAATGCTAGATACTGTGTTAAAGGAATTTTCCTTTTAAAATTGACACGGGAAACCAGTTTCTTTTTGTCGTTTCTATCCTTTTCTTATTGGTTTAAGTGGGGTTCCTGGATAAGCTGTGTTTTGCAGAGAGTTAGGAAGAAAGAAATTCAAGAAAGAGAGGGAGGAATGTAAGTAGAAAATGGAGAAGTTGGAAAATTAATAAGAAAGACTAAAGGTAAGCTGCTTTGTAAGTAATTTCTAGTTGGAAGTGAAATGTTAGTGAATGGAAAGATTGCAAATTTCAAAACAATTTTTGATTGAGGAGTATTTTACTTTAATCTTTGAGATAGTATGGTATAAAATGTGAGAAACACACTGGTAAGTAAGAATATCCATGCTTGGAAGGAAAATATTTCCTTATTTTGGCAAGGACCTTTAATATTCTTTGAGAGAGGCATTCAGTCTTTTGTGTAATTCTATACACCTGAAGATAAGTCTGGTCCCCCCCCTCCTCCGACTCCTCCCCTGCTCTGATTGACATTCGTAAGCAGGAGTGCTTTTACACTGGAGACTGATTCAGTTCTGTTCTCTTAGCCATAGTATAGGTATAGTCTTGTGAGTCTTTTTCTAACTGTCACTATGAATCAGATCTCTCCCTTATTTCTCTCTAAGAGTACTATTTAGATCAAAGGGTATTACCTGACCAGATAAATTCCAAATGGATTATTTCGCCTAGAGCTTATTTGCTTTGTTCTACATCTCTTGGTTATCTATTCTTTCTAAGTATATGCCACTGGTTTGTCAGCTCCTTGAGTTTGTGTTCTATTTTTGTTTCCTCAAGGCCAGATCCAGTGACTGACACACATTAACTGCTCAGAAAATGTTTGATAAATTAATGAATTGACAAGTGTTACTCTCAGATTGTGAAATCCAGATACAATTTCCTACTAAAAGGAATGAGGTTCCTTAGGAAATGGTTGATCCTAGCTTTGGAGCAGGAAATTTTTAGGATGGTCTGAAACATCATATCAGATAGCAAGGAAGCTATCAAAGACTAGGTAGGGCAGTGTCAGAAGGATTCAGGAGTCAACCTGAAGAGGTCCCACTGGCCAAAGATGATACAGATTGACTACCAATAAGAATAATAGTGGCAGTGGATTAAAACACATGAAGTATGTTTAAATCCATGAGTCTATAAGATTAAGAAATGAAAAGCAACTAATTGATCGCTATTGGAGAATTCTGGAGAAGCAGCTCATTTTGAAAATGAGTAGAAAAAAAAAGAAATTAAGCATCTGTTTTCCCTTTTCTATATAAACTGTATTACTGCGTAACAAATAGGTCTTTTTATAGAAGTATTTTAGTAATAAATGAAGAAGGAATGATGGGATATCACCAAATTACAAGCCCTAGCAATTTAATGGATCTAGGATGTGAATAGTGTGATATAATAAGCAATATATATTTTGTCTTCATCCTGGTTCTTGGAAAAAGAGCTTCAAAAACTTTTGGAATTTCCCAAGTGATAGAGGTGAGAGAAGCATCATTTTTATTCATAATTATTCCCTTTCCATCACACTTCAGTTTATGCTAATGACCTGACTCTTGGCCGACCCTAGATAGCTTCATATGGGGGCTGGTTTCCAGAGGATCCAATCGTGTGATTATAGGTTTGGAACTTTTAGCCTCCACTTCCCCCCAACCTGTGAGGAAGGGAGAGGGGCAGGAAACCAGGTAATCACTAATAACCAATGATTTAGTCAATCATGCCTATGTAATGGAATCTCCACAAAAATCTCTAAATGATAGGGTTTGGAGAGCTTCCAGGTTGGTGAACACATAGACGTGTCGGAGGGTGGTGTGCCCAGAGAGGTCATGGAGGCTCTGTGTTCCCCCATACCCTCAATACTTTACTCTATGCATCTCTTTCATTTGTCTGATCCTGAGTTGTATGCTTTGTAATAAACTGGTACTAGTAAGTAAAGTGCCTTCCTGAGTTCTGTGAGCCATTCTAGCAAATTATTGAACTTCAGTAGGGGGGCGTGGGAACTCCTAATTTATAGCTGGTTGGTCAGAAGTACCAGAGGCCCGGGACTTGCCATTGGTGTCTGGGAGCAGTGGGGACAGTCTTATGGGACTGAGCCTTGTGGAGTCTGAGCTAACTGTTGGTAGTTAGTGTCAGAATTGAGTTAACTTGTAGGACACCCAGTTGGTGTCCACAGAGAATTGAAGAATTGCTTGGTGTGGACAACCCGCACATTTGGTGTCAGAAATGTTGTGAGTAAAAACAGTTCATAAACATAAAAGGTTGTTAGCATCACAAAAAGACAGCCAGTCATTGTGGTACCTCCTGATAGAAGAGTGATCAAACCTGAATGTGATCAGGCCTTCAGTTTACAACATCTATAGATCCAACTACCAGTTTACAATGTATACAGAGAAGAGGGGAACGTGTTAAACTACATCAGAGGGATACAATCAGAAAATCCAAACTGGAAAATGACCGAACAAACAACCTGGTTTCTTTAACAAATAAATTGTAAGATTGAAAAAAAGAGTTGGAAGAGGAACCTTTGAATTAAAAGAGACCTAAAAGATCTATTGCTCTCATCACATTGTACACCTTAAACTCACACAATCTTATATGTCAATTATATCTCAATTAAGCTGAAAAAAAAAAAAGATGTGTTGATCGGTTGCAATGTGATGAACTTATTTGGATCTTAAACAAATAAGTGGTAAAAAAAAAAAAAAAACCAACAGAAGCATAAACATATGAGACCACTGGAAATCTGAACACTGAAATATATTTGATACTAAAGCTGGTAAAGACATTGGTTCACTCAGGTGGTCCAAGTGAAAGGTACTCTTTAAAATGCCAATGACTGGCCTTCAACTAACAAGCCAAGTAAGTATTAAATAGCCAATTAGGTAATAAGTAGCTAATGTATAAATAGCTCTTACAAAGGTCCTGGGGAATTTGCTTTGCAGAATTGAAGGATTAAGTTTATTCTGATAACAGCTGTTCAGTTCACTGTAATTAGATTCCTGCTTTCTTGTACCACATACAAAACTGAGTGTAGGATGTCTTCTTAAGGAGTAAACTGTTGCATGATTCCATTGTTATCAATATTACAGTTCAGAGTAGGTTGAAAATCTTATCAGTGAATTGGGTGAAATCCAGCATAAATACAGTAGCAGGTGACTAGTCCAAATTAGTTTGTGGAGCTTTTTGTTTGTTTTTCTTTGCCTTTGCATATAGCCTTAATTATCTACTTTTTGCATCCTCCATATTTACTTATTTTCCTTCATTATCTTTTCCTGCCTATGTGTGTATTAGTACTTGCCCCCAAGGCAGGTTGGAAAATTAAGAGGTAAAATTTTAGTCCATTTGTTGGAATTATGTTGGATAATGCACAAGGAGCTCTTATGAAGGTCATTTGAGGATAGATGTTGAAATTTGTTGTTTTTACTTTTCTAGTCTATTCTCCACAAGGCTTGAAAAGTGTGGTCATCTGGCTACTATATGGAATGCATTTTAAGGTCTGGTTATAGGGTCAGGTGGAATAAAAAGTACCAGTGCTCTTTTGTATAGATGCCAGACTTAGCATTCTCATACTACCTTCTGGAATTTGTCATGGTGGGTCAGAGAATGGAGCTGGCTATGTTCTGCCTGGTCACATTTCATTTGTGCTGTTACAGGACTGCTTGAATTCTATTTGGATTTATTGGGGAAGGTTGGTCAATCAGTTAGGAAAGCATTCTGCTGCAAGTAACTGAATACCCAAAGAACAGTGGCTTAAACAAAAAGAGGTTTAGTTTTATCATATAACAAGAAGACCTGAGTAGCTGGTTGCTGGCACTGGATCTGCTGCTCAGTGATGACAGGGAGACCTAGGGCTGGTACATTTTTATGCATCGTATCCATTCTGTGCTCAAGGCAGTGGGAAGGGAAAGGGCCAGCTATGTCTTTTATCAGGAAAATATACTTTTTTCAGAATAGCCATCTCCTTTTCTCTGCTGATTTCCTTTTCATCCTCTGGAATCCTCTTGCAGATTTCTCACTGGGCCACCCCTATATGCAAGGGAGGATGGTAAAGTAAGGGGAAAAGATAGTTGATGAGTTGCCTGAGGCTGGTTAACATTGCTGCCTGAATAAGATTGGGGTTCTCATACCAAGGGAGAAGTGGGAATGGATAGTGGTGGGTAATTAATAGTGTCTGCCACAACTGGGATAGTTTCTAGACTTAGAGAAGAGGTAAAGCAGGAGAATATGAGACTCAAAAAGGAATATCTGTGACTCTCTGTATGTCTCTGTATGTAGCATTGTCTCCATTTTGTGCTTACAAGCAAGTAAATGAGAAAGTGAATTGAAGGATTAATATGAGGGATGATTAAAGGATTTGCATATAGAGAACTTAGGGTAAGTGATACAAAGTGGCAAATAATTTCTGTCAATAAATTGCTAGATGTATTACAAAGTTTTTGTAATCAAAATAGTATGGTATTGGCATAAAAACAAACACAGATCAATGGAACAGAATAGAGAGCCCATAAATAAATAAATATGATCAATTAATTTATGACAAAGGAGCCAAGAATATACAATGGGGAAAGGACAGTCTCTTCAATAAATGGTGTTGGGAAAACTGGACAGTCACATGCAAAACAATGAAACTAGACTACTATCTTACACTGTACATGAAAGTTAGCTCAAAATGGGTTAAAGACTTGAATGAAAGACCGGAACTCATAAAAGTCCTAGAAGAAAACATAGGTGGTAAGCTCCCTGACATCAATCTTAGTGATGATTTTTTAGATCTGACTCCAAAAACAAAGGTAACAAAAGCAGAAATCAACAAGTGAGACTACATCAAACTAAAAAGCTTCTGCACAGCAAAGGAAATCATCAAC